ATAATTGCCTTTCCAAGCCTGAGGAACCACCGGTTGGTCTTTCTGCTCTTTGAAATTCTCAGAGCTTAGCAAATAGCCCTGCTTCCCATGCGGCCGGGAGCGGGATGGCAGCGGTGGGCCCTGCTCCCTCCCACTCCCCTGCAGGCTCTCCCTTCATTAAAACACTCGGGGAAGCTGAAAGGCGCGCCAGCCCTTCCTACATACCCCATAAAGCTGACAAGCAATTATATCCACTGAAGGGAGCCATGCTGGGAGAGCAAAGAAAGGCTCAGAAAGGCAGGGAAAGCAGGTCTTTTTGTCCCCACGCCCAGGGAGTGGGCAGCAGTGCTTCACGGAGAACATCACACGAGACCTTACAGGATGCTCCTTCCCCTTGCAGGTCGCGTCCTTCCATCTCCCACATCCGCAGGGAAGGTCGCGGTGCAGGAACAAAGAGCTACTGGGATTTAAGGCTGACGTTCACTGCTTCCCGCAGGAAAGGGCACGCAGCTTGCAGGTGGATAGCACTGAACGAGCCGCTTCGGAGCCTCGGCAGGCACTCTGCTCGCTGGACCATGTCCTAGGGGCTCTGAAGCAGCTGAGCCTTTCACAGCAGGAACGGAGCTGCTCGTGGGAGAGGAGCTAACTGAATTGGAAAATGCCGTGACTACGGGGTAGCCTCGCCCATGGAGGAAGCAACTGCGCTTCACTCCAGGCACTTTAGAGTGGCTGGAGTTTCCAGGACAGTTGAATTCAGGAGGAGCAGATTTGGGGGGGGAGGCTGGGGAGATAAATCCAGGAACAGGCTCTAATTCCAAACCTATAGCCTGACCACAGGACTCGGCTGGCAGAGGTGACCTCCAAGGGTGTGGTATTTCCACAGATTCTTCCTTTTACTCTAAGCAATAATTCCTCCAGCATGGCCGAAGGCAGCAAGCCGGCTCTCAGCCCCAGCCCCACCGTAAGAGCTCATGGCAGAAGGTGCAGATTGAGAGTGGCTTCAAAAGACGGAGACACAACAGTAAGGAGAGGGACCACGGCAGAGGAGCCAGGAGCTCCGAGCATCTCCCAGTGATGTCATTGTGGCCCAGGTACCTCCCTGATCCTAGAGGTGCCAGGCAAGACATCCTGGCGTCTCGGACACCCCCTTGGCTCCCCCCCCCGCCCCCGATTTCTTCCCTCTCATTTTCCCTCCCCATCCCATCCACTCTACAGCTCCGACGGTGAAGTCAACATAAGGGGCAGGCGGGTGGTTTCCTCTTCCTTGTGCCAGCAGCCGCTGTGTCGACAATGAAAAGCCAGGGAGGGATCAGCCCAAAGCTGTAAAGTGTGGGTTGGGTTTTTTTCTCTCTCTCAAATAAAAGTCCATTAATAATCAGCAAAGCGTTTAATGAGAGGCTAGAAGGAGTTCTCAGCATTAAGAGGGGATTAAGGGTAATCTTCATAGCTCATGCCTCCTTGCTGTGTGCAGGCGGTTCTGACCTGCTCTTGCCAAAAGGGCCCAAGGTAGGTAGGAGTGAGGCAGGGCTGGGACAGACAGCCCTGGGGGATGTAGGGCTGCGACTCACCTGATGAAGGGTCCCTGTGGGAAGGAAACAAGACATGGTTTAAGCACGATTAGTTTTGAAGCAGTCATTCACATTTAAAAATCATCATGATTTCCTCTTAATTAATCAGGGCTCCCCTTTAAGGAGGGGGCTGCAAGTTCTGCTGACATGAAAACGAGCAACTTTTCATCCTAACACACAGCTCTAATTCAAATTTGGCCAAACAGATCCTCTGCCAGTTTGCAATGCATGATTTGCTCCGGCAGGCATCGCAGCCCCTGCGCTGGGATGAAGCTGAACTGTTAAACCAGAAATTTTGTATCATATGGGTCCCTTACAGACCAGAGAGGGCATGTCCTGTCCTCAGTGTCTCTGGAGCGAACGTGCACGAAAAAGGTTTGATGCACAGCATGTTCCTCGCTATCTCGCCTGCAGAGGGGAAAGAACAGCCCCTGGGGCCATCCCACCTTCTGTGCTTGCTCCCAGAACACCAGCAGCTTCCCTGGCCGCCCCAGGCACAGAAGCAAAGTTTCCAGGAGTTGCGTATGACTCTGGAAGGAACCAAACGTTTGGATTTGGTACCTCAAGGCCCTGCTAGAGATGCTGACCCCCTACAGCCAGCTGGGAAACAGAAGGTACATCTTCTCCACCTGACCTCAGTCGGGCTGGCACTACAAAGAGCGGCAACTGGCTCAGGGAGCCAAAAGCGGTGTGGAATATCTTGGAACAGTGATTAGATTTTAGAAAGTCATGATCTCATCATGATCTCCTCTCCTGGGAGCGGGGAGAAAAGCATCCTCACGGATTAAAATTTTGGTTCCAAATTTTTCATTCAGCTCTGGGAGCAGGAAACTAATTTTCCTGGCTTTGTGTTTCTGTCAAACGCCGTGCTTAATTCTCTTTTCATATCGCTTTTATACTGGTTTGATACCGCTGATTTATGTGCAGCTACTCCTAATCTGTGGTAGTGAAAGGAAAGGCACACTCAGATCTGCTGTCCTAGATTTCACTGTATTATCTGCTGACTCCAACTACCCCGTCTCCCTCTCAGGTATTATTACAAAGGGAGTTTTCTAGAGTGCTCTCGACCATCCAGACCTGGTGATTTCTCCCCTGCCTACATTCAGAGTCCTGCTTTGCAGGCTCCAAGCCCTGGGTTGCAGCTTTGCCGAGTGCTTCCCTTCTGCCTCACAGCCCTCCACCCTCTCTCACCAATTCCCAGAGAGGTTCTTTGCTCTTCTTCTCCAGCTCTGCTAGGTCTTTCTGACTCCCCATTTTAGGTCATCAGGACACTTAGACACTTTTTATGCTGTGCCTCCCTCAAGGTCATAAATTTTAAAGGGGACTCGGGCACCAAGTGGGGTGTGCTGTACGCTCCCTTTTCCCAGCCCAAAGCTTTTTCCCCGATCCTCTGCTCTCTGTTCCTGTGGGGTTAATTCATCTCTTTTCAGAGGCCTCCTCAACCTAAGCTGGGTAAATCAGTGGTAGCTCCTAAAAAAAATTTAGCTCCTAAAAATATCTAGGAAAGACAACATGCCGGGATTTAACTGTACAGCTGCACTTTGAGAAGGGCGAAGTGCCTGGCTGCAGCTGGAGACTGTTTTGTCTCCCATCTCTCAACTCCGTCATGTCCTCCGTATGTTCTAGCAAATTCATCAGGCATGACTCACAGACCTTGCCTGTACGCATTCCCATCTGCTGACTGCCCCTTCCTAAAATTAGACCCTGCTCTTGTTGGCACAGGGGTTCAGTCACGGGGGAAGGTGAGGAGCTGCAGACCCACGTCCCTTCTTTGTGTCACAGCAGGGAGCTGAGTCCAGAAGGGACTGGTGCTCAGGCTGAGGAGGACGATCCGTCTCCCCTGCTCAGCTTGTCCTTGGCCCTGCTGCTGCAGCAGAGGCTGAGGACAGGACAATCATCTACTCCAGAGAGGAAGGACACCTCCCCCTGTGAAATCCTGGAGACCGCAATTGCTTGCTGCTCCTCCTTCTCAAGTCCCAAATTTGTGTGAACTTAGCCATGCACCTTTCAGCGACCTTTTTGTTCACTGAAGGACTCGGTAGAATCAGTCTGGGTCCCAACGGCTTGTCCAGACATTCCTATTCCTAAGGGTCTCACTGGTGGATGCGGGTCTCCCATCTGTCAGAAAGAGGAGCTCTGAAGGCTGGACTGTGGGCGTTGTGTGGGGGGGAGAGAAAGGAGTAAGGTCATTGCTCTGCTAAGTGTAGAACAGCACTGACCTTCTGCTGGGGAATTTTGTGCTCCCGTTATTTTCTCTGTTCCCAGGGGAACATTCATCGGGAGTGAAGTCAGTTGTTAGGAGACATTGACACTACAGCTAGAATATTTTCGGCCACATTCAGGCGGCTGGGACTGACTATAAATCCAACAAGTGTTACTGGAGACGTGCACACGTGCATCCTTCTTTTACTGTAGACCTCAGCCCCAGAAGGGCAGTGTTGTGCAACGGTTACAAAGCAATAAAAGTATTATTCTTTGATGAGAGTAAAAAAAAAATAAAAAAGAGTCCTTCTCACCCTACTGACCTCCTGGGGTAGTCGGAGTCCTAGCAGTCTTGTTAGCATTTACTGCCTTTGGGTTCGGGGCACAAGCTGGAGATTGTGAATTAAATTTGACCAGAGGAGAGGGAACAGGAGTCCAACCTGCTGCACAGAGCACTGGAAGGACTGTGCCAAGCCTACAAGGTAAAACCTTCCCCCCAGGATGCCGAGAAGGGCTTTGCACCGTGCAGCTCCCTTGGGAAGAGGCTCCTGGTGAGGTTGTGCAGGAGCCCAGCTGGTACCTCACCGCCCAGCTCACTTTGGCAAGGCTGGCAGCTAGGCAGATCCACCCTGCAGCTGGAAACTCAGCTGCACTCTGGAGTTGGGAATAAAGACGGAGCCTCAGGCTACTGCTTTCATGGCCTGCCCTTTTCACATTACAGTGGTCCACCGGTGCTGTTGCAGCATGTTCTGTCCTGTTAGCTGTAAGCGGAGAGTTGCCGGATGTCCTCCAACCATCTGAGACAGCCCGTCAGCCGCAAAACGCATATAAAAAAATTTTCTGTCAAACTAACAGGGAAAAGCAAAAGAAACACTCCCATTTACTACTCCTGAATTTCAAACCTCCAGAGTGCTCATCAAAGCATTCAGTTTTCATACTTCCAAGGCAGATTTTGCATTTCCTCCCAGCTGTCACTGTCAGGCTGTAATGGGAAACAACAGAGAAAACGTGGTATGTGGCTGGGAAGGATGAGATGAATGAGCTACTCGGCGGTCTGCTGTGTTGTCAAAAGAAACTCTTTCCAAGGGTCAGTTGTTTCACACATGTCTAATACAACTCATATTCTCAGCAGAGATCTCCTAGAACCTCACTGGTAATTAAGACATGGAGTACTTGCAATTTCCAGGTCCCATATCCAGAACCATGTACAGGAAGGACCGTGAACAAGGTCCTTTCCCACTCCCTTCCTTGCCCTTTGCTCTGTCTCCTGCCCGTGGCTGTGACTTTGCCTCTGTAAAGGCTCTGCTCTCCCTCCCTGCAGACAGCCCGTCGGCTCCAGTAAATGTCACAGTCAAACACCTGAAAGCCAACTCAGCCGTTGTGACTTGGGATGTTCTGGAAGATGAAGTTGTCATTGGATTTGCAATTTCCCAACAGGTATGGTGCCGACAGTTACCCAGTTTCGGTCATGTTCATCTTCACCCCAGGTCCCCTCAGTTTCCAAATTCTCTTGCTGCAGTTTAAGCCCATTCCTTCTCGTCCTGTCCCTCGTGGTCTGGGAGGGGACTTGGCTTCCCGTCCTCTTTGCAGCAGCGCTTCTTTTATCGGCAGCTGCAGAGAGGAAAGGGTCCGACGGTCTCCACGTCCGTGGTGGACAGGGCAGGAAGCAGTGGTCTTAGATGACAGCAGTGCACACGGGAGGCCTCTCCACCACTCTGTGCTCTCCTCTCTCGGCTTCCAGAAGAAGGACGTGCGGATGCTGCGCTTCATCCAGGAGGTGAACACCACCACCCGCTCCTGTGCCCTCTGGGACCTAGAGGAGGACACTGAGTACATTGTGCATGTCCAGTCCATCAGCATCCAAGGCCAGAGCCCTGCCAGTGAGCCAGTCCTCTTCAAGACCCCCAGGGAAGCTGAGAAACTAGCCTCTAAAAATAAAGGCAAGTGTGGGTGAGTTCCTATGTGGCCCCTGGGACGCCCAGCCAGCGTAGGGCTCTGCAGAGAGGAAAGCAGTATCCCGTACAATGAGAACGGCTGGGTTAAATGCACACAGGGCTGAGTGCCCTCTCCCAGCCCCACGTGGACAAGTGGGATGCCCTGAGTGTACCCAGCAGACAAGGCTGATGGGTGCACAAAGCGATAGGGAGATGCTGCCGAAGGCTGGCTGTTCATTTCTCCCGTTTCAGATGAGATTTAATAGGCAAAGTGAGGAGGAAAAGGTTTCCAGTCTGGGAGCTGTGTGTCCAGCAACCTTGCAAGCAGAGAATGCCAGGGGAAATTCCTAAGCAGGCTGTGAACTCTTGAGGAAATAGACCCCTGGATGGCACTGGGCACAACACCATTGTGCTCACAGGGCACTCGGGGGGATTCGCTGAGCCTCCTGTGCTTGGATTCCAGGACAGCAGGGGGAAATATACCCAGAGACTGCCGCTTTTCTTACATTTCAAATGCTTCTGCCAAATCACAGAATCACAGAAAGTTGAGGTTGGAAGGGGCCTCTTGAGATCACCTAGTCCAAACCCCTCGTCAGGCAGGGTCAAATAGAGCAGGTTGTCCAGGATCATGTCCAGCTGGGTTTTGAATATCTCCGCGGAGGAAATCAGGCACTTCCTCACTGGCAGCTCCTTCACTTGTTCCTCTTAAGACAAACCAGATTGTTGAAGGTTTTCTGTCAGCAAGAATCTCTGCTACAAAAAGGGCTAGGGAGTACAGGGGTCTGGGATATAAAGGGTTACTGCCTGCCTACTGAGGACCCAGCCTGTTGCAGGGCTTTTGGCCGTGGTTCCTAGGATGTTGTGAGTTCGTGACTCTTTCTGCTAAAATGATTTGGTGTCTGTAAATACTGAGTTGCTGTTCATCTGAAAGCACTAAGAGGAGCACTGCTTCCCTCCTTGGAGGCCTGAACTGTAATCTTCTTAGTGCTTTGAAGCCAAGGAGGCGCATTACGCCCTGCAAAAAGGCTCTACTCATTTCTGAATCCCATGGCTCCACTGAAAAATATCATGCCAGGCTCCACGCTCCTGAGCTGGGAGAGGAACTGCTGAAGCGTGCAAGGCTTTGTGACAGGCGCAGACGGCACTAACAGAGACCAGAGACAGACCAGAGGGAGCCGCGACGGGGCCAGATAACACATGGACTTACCCCATGGCAGCTCCTCTGTGGTAACTGCCTGTTGATCCCGTCTCACTGCCCCTCCCTCGCCCCATCTCCTGCAGGTTGTCAGGGGCAGTTGCTGCAGAGCAGCTGATGCTCTGCAAGTTTAAAGCGCAGCTCGTGCTGCTGGCTTGACTGACAGGCGAGGACTCTCTCCCTGCTAGCTTTGACCCTGACGCACTGATGGTTTGAGTCAAGGGCACTGTTAAACCAGTGTCTAGTGCAGCCGGAGCCGTGCGGTTAGGTTTCATGATCTCTCTTTCCCCTTGTGCAGATGAGGTGACAATGAAGGAGATGGCGAAGAAAAACCAACAGCTGCGAGCAGGGGAAATTCTCATCATTGTTGTGGTGTTGTTTATGTGGGCAGGTCAGTTCAATCTTTCTGTCAAAAGCACGTAATATCCCTAGGGCCTGCTGGCTCGCTTGGTTTGCACGTGTAATCATGTAAGACCTGAAAAGAAACCCTTCCTCCCATAAAGAGTACCGTATACTCAGCTGTAAGGGCACCTCAGTTCCCTCTGCAGCATCACAAGTCGGGCAGTGCCAAAAGCAGGTGAATCAGTGGTCTGATCTGCTCCAGCAGGAAGCAGATAATGGACTTGATGAACCAATTGCCTAATTCCCCATGGCTAATCCTGTAATCTCAATTCTTCCAGAATGCACCGATGATAATGCCCTCAGCCATCCAACAGGATGCCTCGAGCCCTTCAAATGATACAGGTCACTGTAATTATCTGCCTATTATATGACTCCAACTCTCATGCAGAACAGAAATTTAAGAGTCTTGGTCTCAACACCCACTATTATATATACACTAATACCCACTTCAAAATCAATTAAAGTAATGGAAGCATTGAAAGAACAAATGGCCCCAAACATCAAAACACCAATAAACCCAGATCCTCGCAACATCCACTATTAAATACTCTTTCTTTGTATTTTAATACGAAGAGGAGAGACATTAGCAGAAACATATTAAGTGAAAGGAAGGAAAAGTCTACACGAGCTTGGGATGGTGGGAGGAGGAAGGACTAGCATTAGCTGAAAGCTGCTATCCAAAAGGGTGCTTTGGACCCAAACTCCTGGCAATCTCTTGAAATTCCATGCTAGCCCTCATAGAATCATAGAATCATTAAGGTTGGAAAAGACCTCTAAGATCATCGAGTCCAACTGTCAACCCAACACCCCATGTCCACTAAACCACGTCCCTCCTTACACCCTGCAGCCACTAATCCTTTTAATCCAAGCGGAGGCTCTGCTACAAGACAGCTACTGTAGTATATGATTTTATAAGCAAGACCACGTGCCCAGCTGCAGCTGAGAGCACCCGGTGCTGTGGGAGGTGCAGTAAAGCCATTGTAGGGCCGCTTTGCTGTGGGATGCAATGGGCATAGCTAGGCACATACATTAACACAGCCTCTAACAGAGCATCAGATAAATGTGCTCCTTCAATATGAAGATCCCTCCCTATGTCTTTCTGTAATATGTACAAACATATAAATTAAATTTCCAAAGAGAACCAAGAGTTTTCCGACATGAGTTTGGGGCCACATTTCAATAGAGCTTATAGCAAATTGTACCTAGGACAGATCTCGCTCATATGTTTTAAACTAGCAAATAGGGAGAGGAAAATGCCTCTGACTCCTGCTCCATCAGCTTAGCATGTCTGAGGTGGCTGCAGCCAGCCCTTCAGCTTGTTCAGTTTGGAAATTACATGCATGAGTTAATGGGAAATAAAGTTTGCACAAGTTTGTCTTCTATTTAGAGCCCCAGCCTCCCCTGGCTGCCAGTCAGCTGCTGCTCCTGCTGCAGCGTAAAACATTAATGGAACAACACTTGCTCCCTGCGAGTCACAGAGCACGCTGCCCAAGGGGGAATGGTTCAGGTGACCCAAGGAAATTGGCAGGCCAGGAAATTAGCACTATGGTAAACCTACGATCCATAAAAGACAACCTTTGCCACTCGGTATTTAGACCTCTTGTCCCAGGCAAACCACTTTTCCACACTCAGAGTGTGTAAACAGTCGCACAGAGAATTTTCCTCGGTCAGAAGAGAAACCCACCACGATAGTATTGAGTGGTTGATGACTTTGACAACTTGTAGTTTCAGTGGTGAGCATAACGTTATGTCCTTTAAAGACAGTGGTCTGTCATCTCTGCTGCTGTAAACTTAACAATCCTGAACTGATAGGGGTTGCATCAGTTTACTCCAACAGAGGACTTGGCCCATTTATACTAGATTCTGCTGAGATGAGATACCTCCAGGGAGAGATGTGAAGAGGAAACCAGTCACTGATCTGAGATCTGTCACAAAAGAGGGGGATGGAGGGATTAACTGTGTCCTGTACAGTTCTGCAAGGTTTCTTACAAGTGAATCCAGGTGACACAGAATCAGATCCACGTATAATATTTTTTTGCCCTGGAAAGTCCTGAGTTTACCATGCACTATTTGCATTTCCAGAGACCGGACAGCAATTATTGCTAAAGATAACAAAATGAAAATCTAAACTAAATTACGAGGCTTCCAAAACCTCTAGTCCATGATCTTTTCAGCATTTATGTCAAGTTTTAGTCGTGCACGTTCAAATTTAAACGCCCTGCCAGTAAAAACAATCATGAATAATTACATGAAGTGACTGAACAAGTGATTCATCTCCCACTGTAGCATAATCTAAAACTCAGATCAGCATCTGAACAAAGAATTTGCTAAAACCACAATTTCCCTTCTAGACAGACAACTTACCTTTAAAAAGGAAAGTGGGTGGAGGCAAAATCTCTCTACATCTAGTGGGTTCTTTACATAAAGTCTCAATATATGGCCCTTAACCTTGCCTGGCCATAACCTGAATGTATGAGGATGTTTTAGCAAATGTTTTTTTCAGTGCTCTGAACTGAGACAAGACCCAAGCTCTTGTGCTGTCTGTCTTTCTGGTATTGTTCACAGCACTTTGCTTCTCTGTGCCTCAGTTTTACCATCAGAAATCACAGAGGGTGTGACTGTGGCAGATGTTAACCTGTTCTCCTAGGATCAGCCATTTGTTCACATACACAAAAAAGAATTTGGACCACTGTGTTTATCAGTAATACCTGGGGGCAGCTGTCATAACACCTCGCTTTATAAAGCGGTTTGTGATGGTCTGGTGAAAGCTTTACATATGCTTTGCTATTAGGGGAGCTGGAATATTTTTCAGTAAGGGAAAAGCAGCATCTGCCTGGGTCTGCTTAACCTCCGTGTTTGGAATCTGCAGGCAGAGAAGTTATTTGGTCAAAATATCATATAAAAGCTTCCAAGAAAGATATTTGCAGTCGTCTTACGTGCCATGGCTGCCCCTGCTTTTTTCTTCATGTGCCTGCATGTGTCAGAGGAAATTTCCACTGGCAGCTTTTGCTGCCGTCACTGTTGCATATTTGCAGATGTTGTCCTGCTGCTCAAAAGGCCCTGGCTTGTATCACACGCAGGCAGGTACGGTACCTGCCTCTCATCTGCCAGCTCCAGCTCCTTCTCTTCACCCCAGAGGGGAAAGATCAGAGGACACATTTTCACTAACCAGAAATTCCAGGAGCTCCTGTGTTTGCAAAGGAAAGATCCCATTTAACCACATGGTTAGTGTTGATCGCTATCCAGACATAGGGCTTAAAACACTTGTCCCATTTAATGACAGGGAAGTTGGAATATAATTAATCTTCTGTCCTTCTGTCTAACTAGTTTAGTATGGAATTAAGCATCGAGAAGGAAACAGCCAGAGGGTCGACTAGCTGTGTTAGAATATGATCCTTAGGAGCAATTGTGAATGCTGCTGAGATCTCTACCAGAAGGCACAAAGCTGGCTGGCAAGCAAGAGATCTCTTGATCTCTGCAGGCTCCAGGGGCTGACTTCATTTGTGTGATCACTAATGCTTTTTCCTGTTAGGGGTGATCGCCCTGTTTTGCAGACAGTACGATATCATCAAAGATAACGAGCCAAATAACAGCAAGGAGAAAGTCAAGAGCGCCTCGGAGAACAGCACTCCCGAGCACCAGAGCGGAGGGCTCCTCCGCAGCAAGGTGAGATGCTGCTGGCACGCAGTGGGGGATGGGGCAGACAATCAACTTCCCGCTGGGCTTCAGTTAAATTACCAAAAAAGCAGCCTCTGTTAAACATCCTCACTCCAGCCTCCTCCCTCCAGCTGGGATGCAGAAAGGAAATACCCCTTCACATCCACGCATGCCAGTACCACGGCTTCGTTAGTGGTCTGAGCCTCCCAGACGCATCAGGACACCAGCACGTCACTCCCACCTCTGGATTAGCCTGCACATCCATCAGTAAAACAGATTTCAATCCATATGTCTGAAATATCTGAACATCTCTGGAAGAAAAATGCACTGAGCAATGCTGCGGTCCCTGAGCTGCTTGGGTCCTTACCCCCACAGCAGCCCTTAGGTGGCACGTGGTAAAGGGGCTATTACTCTTCCAATTAACCGAAGAGCTGATCAGCAGGAGCGTGGCTGGTAATACACATGATGTTAAAGGTATGCCATATCCATAATGTAAGAGACTCAAGCCTATAATTTATACCAACTTATTTCAATTAATTTAACTTTCTTGTGTTTCTATTCACAACTTGTACTCCGGCACATCCCCACCACTTCACATTTACTTATTATTTGAAATAGTCCACTAATTCATGCTCATTCAGAAGCAGACAGTGATGAACATGCAACCCTAAAGCCTCAACTCTGGCCCTTTTTCATTATCCTGAGGGGATGGGAACAAGAACTTTCACAAAACCAAAAATTGACCAGCACACTGCACTGATCTCTGATGTGTTTTTTTTTCCCCTCTCTAGCGATTCCTATACATCCTTTCTTCCTTTGTCTCCTCTTCTCTTCTAGTTTCCAAAAAACAAGCCCTCAGTGAATATCATTGAAGCGTGACAGCCTGCCATCTCATAGATGGACTCCATTCCTCACTCTCACTTTCTGCCTCTGAGCCTTGATGACTAGGGAGGTGAAATATTGTTGGAGCAATTTGGAAAGAGACCTAGTGATTGTCACTTGCTGGCATACACCTCCTTGTCTGCGTTCTGCAAAACATCTGGCCAGAAAGAAAAATCCTGCAAAAAAACCCTGAAACCCAAACAAACAATTAAAATGGAAAAGCATCGGTGAGACAGCTGCTGCCGGTGATCCTGTACTGGACTCATGAATCACCCGGGCTGGAGCAACTTCTCACGCACTCCTCTCCACTCCTCACACTCCGTCTTCTGGAACAATTTTCCTGTCTTTGGAAGTGTACAAGGTTTTGTTGTATCTTTATTTTGTCTCACTGTCACTACATCTTGACAGTATTAACGTGAGCTCAGGCATCAGTTACTGTCACTCCTCTCCAAGCAAGAAAGGAGGAAAGCTCATCGCAGACACGACTAGCAACCAGATTTTGGCTGCTGTGTGCTCTCGGCTTGCTTTGTTCCATTGATATGTGTTGTGTAACACGTCTTGCAGGTGGGTTTTTAAAACAAAAAAAAAGAAAAAAGGCATACCCCAGTTTCCATTCCCACTGCGAGAACTTCCCTGGTTGTTCTCCAGTTAGGCTGCAGCACATCTCCACTGTTGCTGTCTCTCCTATCTCGCACTGGTGCTCTTCATCTCAGATAACGGGGGCACGCCGAACACTGAGGCACAGACCAGTATGAGGGGACACCAGAAGCCGTTACTTAGCTTCCAGGATAATTTCAACCATTTTCTTCATGGTATTTTCAGCTGGGCCTGTGTCCGCCACCAGTGTGATAAAAGGTCCATAAAAATGTAGCCAGTCAGCAAAAAAAAAAAAGAAAAAAGAAAAAACTCATGATACCGGTTGCTATGCAAGGTCTCCAGTGGCAATAGCTATTTATTGGGAAAGGCTCTTGCCTAAGGGACCTTTTTCTGAGGGCTTAAGTTCTTAAATTGCTTCTTTTAGTAGGGTTCCTGTGGGAAGGTCTGGTTCTCCTTACACGTCCTGTCTGCACTATTTTTGTGACGTTGTAATGCCAGGTATCTGCTGGAAGCAGTCCTCCATAAAAAGGATGACGACAAATGGAAAAGGGGTTGGGCTTCTCCTCTCTCTTAAGTGTTTGATGTTTGTAAGCTGACAGGATTCCTGGGATTGCCGGTGCTCTGGAAGCTGGTAGATGCAAGTCCATCACATGGAAAAGATTTACTCTTTGTAGTGTGCCATGGGGTATCTGTATTTAATTACTCCACAAGACCACTCCATATGCACTAGGGGATGAGGCAAGATCCTACTTGTTCCATCAAATACCAAGATAGGTTGGCCTGAGTAGGGTTTGAATCTCGTTACAACAAACCTGCACCCAGATGAGCCTGGTTTAAAAGTCCCTGCAAAGAAACAGGCTGGCAGTAACCAAGTTCAGCCATCTCTCCTCTTCCACTGTCACCAGCCTTTCCAAAATAGCTGATCTGAGAGAAAGGCACTAGTAAGTCTGCCTGCAGATGTGCTGGTGAACAAGCAAGGGCTTCCCTTGTGCCGGTTTCAGAAGGCAGGCCAACTCCAGAGGTCTCTTCAGTGGATCCTTTGCCAGAACACACTCCTCCATCACCAAGAGGGAGAGGTCAACACCTCTGATACAGACAGAGCAATAAACATTTTATAATGTACAATAAAAGATTAAAGGCATCTCTTGTGTCCTTGTAATGTCTGAATTTAGTAATATTTCATCTTTGTCTGCTTCGAGCAAAACACACACAATAGAACAAAGATTTTTCTCTCTGTTTCCCAGGGACTATAGCATAAACTGTTTTCTCAATGTCTGGATGTAGAAAACCAGAAAGATTCAGAGTTCACTCTTGTTGCGGGACGAGGGGAAAAAAAAAGTTGCAACATAAATACCACTACAGCCGTACCTGGCAAGATTCTTCAGACATGTCTGTTATCTCCTAAGAAAGAAATGTCATTTGGAATCCATACCCCTATAAAGGGAGATTTAGGACAGATGGTACAGCCTGTGCAAAACAATAAGGGAGATGCTCTCTCATAATCCTAGAGCAGGCAGCCAAGCAGGCAGCCCTCAGAAGTCTGCTAGTCAGGAAATTCAGCCTGTAATTTGGCAGGTTTGGGGGGTGGGGGGTTGTGTGTCTGTTTTTAAAGACAGTTGTCCCTGGGAATTCAGACCACATCCCCTTTTTTACAGTAACTGTTGTTGTTCCCTAGTGACAGGTTTAAACTATTTCTTTCCTAACAGAGACGTGCTCACTCCTTGTTTGGTAGAAAAGAATTAAAATGTAAAGCGTCGGTGTTTGTGCAGAGTTAAGTATTCACACCATAATGTGGCAGGAGGTAAAAGGGTTATCATTATGTTCCATAACTGCAGGCTTTAAAAGTAAGGTAATAACGCTATTAGCGAGAAGAAACAAATGTAGGCTGGCAGCAACTCAACTCAGAGAGGGACTCCAAGCTATCCAATTCAAGTGATTCTCTTAAGGGAAATGTTTTCAGCAACTCTGAATTGAAATGATGTAATAAGTCCACACTTTAGGAAAAAGTGTTTCCTGTTACAGGAGAAGAAAGTTACTTAAGATCCTACTTTTTTGAGGGTCATAGACACCAAAGCTTTAACTGTGCTTTTGCTATCAACTTCCACTGTAACCCATGAGAGTCAGATACCATTAAGGCTCTGGGCCTGTGTGACTTCAAGCCTAAGCCCATCTTTAGAAGAGATACCTCATTCTTGTCAACAGCTGCCAAAAGATACTCCCAAGGTGTTTTACCATCAATAAAGGGAAGAGATCAAGGAAAAAAAAAAACAAGACAGCACTGAGGAAAGTCTTGTTGGGCCACAGAAGAATGCACCCTGAAGGCCACCCACACTTCCCTGCATGTTTTTGCCTGACTGCTGATTTTGAGTGGTTACGGGAAGCAGGGGCTAGGAAAGGGAGGTTTCAATGAATACTAAAAAGCAGCAAGTGGGAGTGGGCTGGCATGACAGGGATCCCAGAGAGCCCTGCAAGAACCGCTAATCTCAAAAGCAAAGGAAAGCCGTCCTCCAGCCGGCTCCGCCAATGCTGTGCAGCCCCCGAGGACTAACCCCGTTGATTTCCAAGAATCAACTGAGCAGAGACTATGGGCACAGGAAGCAGCGAGAAGCTGAAAACAGAACCCTTTGCCAATATACGCAGTGCGTTTAAAGTTAAGCACCACTTGCCTTCATCCTTTCAAGCACTGTAATATTATGCCTGCAAGTACAATTTAGCCAATATATTCCTCCCCCACGAGTTTAGTAAAATGGAGCCGCAGGAGGCGGTGTGGAGCAAACAATCCCGCACAGCACGTCCTTCCAATTCACAACACACGGCGCCATGCACTTCTCACCACCTCCCTCTGTACAACAAGCAGCAGCACAAGTTCTGTTCCCCGTCTCCTCGGAGGAAAATGAGAACATTAGGCATTTTATTCCCCGACAGTTCAATAGCATCAGAGGAGGAAACACCTACACAACAGAAAGTGTTAGTATAATCTCAGCTGGTAATGACTTTCTGGAAGAGATGTAAATGGAGAGGAACAGACTGCTAATGCCAGTATTTGCCAAAGACATTAAAGGTTACACCACTCAAAAGCCTATGTCACAGCTGCACATCCATTTTGCTGATAAAAATATGGCAATTCATAGACTGAGTAGTCAGACTTCACTTCCCAAGGAGCGAGTTGAAGATTATACCATATGTTATACCAAATGTAATTTCCCCAGATTTGCAGAAAAGCTTCCTAACTACATGTAATGAGCTATTACTGGCTAGCCTGGAAGCAGAAGCCTAGCTGACCAAATTCAATCAGCTTTCTAGCATTTGTTAAAAAGCTGTATGATCAACATGCTTGTTATGCTAAAATATCTTCTGTTTCCTCCACAAATCTGCTATCTATTAAATCATCTGATGACCTTATAGATTAAATGATTATGTTCCTACTTGTTAGTGCTTTAGCCCACATATCTCAACGAAAGCGAGCTGGATTCTCTTTCAGCTCATGCACCAGCAACAATTTTAACTAAGTTCCAAATGAAGAATCTTTATTATTAGCAACAGAGCCAGGAAAGACACAGCTTGAATTTTAGATCCCAGATGGAGTCAGCAAAGTTGGCAGCCAGAAAAGCCATCTTTTTGCTTGCGATCCGAACACACGGGATGCAGAGTCATTGAGTGGCAACAATGACATAGCCCCACGATGCCATTTGACACTTTCCAGCACATCGCTGTCCTTTTGAACTGACAAAACCCCCCTCATTTAGTGCCACCAACTGCTAAACATAACCTATTTATACTATCCAGACCTGTTTTGCAGAGGATGCAACCAGCATAGTACTAGACATCCTCTCAAACCAAAGGGAGAATATTATCAGTTTCCACTATTTCACGTTTCAGGACATAATTTCTTCCTCCCATTTAGAACTACCTTACAGCACAGAAGTAGGGAAGAGCTGGTTAGCTTTTGAGAAGATGGCAGAAAAAGCCACACAGTAGTTTAATTTCAGTCTCATTGTTTTCTAGCTGCTGTTGTTAGACTGTGATACGTTGATGAATGTTATTAAATTTTTAATTGTAAGACATTTCATCGCAGAGCTCACACAGGGCTTGAACAAAACAGTCTCTTCCAATTTTATCTGATGCTGCTGGATTCTACTACAGCAAAAATCATAAACAGAGCCCTTGGCTACACTCTAGCAGCAAACATGCAGTTATGTCCTTCCACGAAGGCTTAATACACAATCTCCCCCTCCCCTTGCAGTATCTCTACTGTTCAGCATATATGAATCACGGTTGCAATGTCAAAGAATGAAATCTTCAACAATAAGGCTGCCCAGAAGCCTAAAGCCTTTACAAAGTGCAGAGCTGCTCCATGGCAGTGTTCATTCATGTGAGAGATTTACATTCACAAAGACCACAAAACACACGTTCAGGAGGAGGCACCCGCTTCTGCCCGAGGTCCTCCAGCACAGGGAAGCTGGTCTCAGACACAGCACACGTACAGACACCATCATCTTGCTGTCATGGTAAGGCGCTGTCTGTTCCGAATAATTTCATTTTCTCAGCATGGCTGAACTGGCAACAGAATGCCTGCTTTAAGAGAAGGCTAATATAAATAACACCCTGACTGCTATGCATCACTTAATAATCTCATAAAGAGATATATAACAAAATCAAGACAGCTAGCATGGAAAGCTCTGAACGCATAAAAGGTAACACCACAGCTTGCACAGCAAAGGGAGCAGATTGCCTGTGGTCTTCCTACCGCTCTGTTCCTGCTCCCTTATATCATTGCCGATCAGCCGTGACCATCGATCACTGGTTGAGACAGAGCTTCGCTATCCCAGCAGTATGTGATTGCAACAGCTGCCGCCAGGCCTGCATTACTTCTGGACCTTCAAAGAGCCAGTCTGTTAGCAGTTTAATATCAGATAAACCCTCCAGCAGGCAAGCTAGTCTGCTTTTGCAAGGTGGGGGGGGGAGGGAGAGGCTCTGCAGTCAGACTCCTG